AACTTCTCCAAAACAGCAAAGTGTCAATCTGCAAGTCTGGGACAACAAGAGTATTTGTATTAGAATTCAGGCTGCTTTTCACTGCCAGAAAGAAGAGGGGAAAAAAAAAATCCAAAGATTACCTCGAGTTGAGCTGGGAAGAGCTTTAGCTCCCTGAACTTCACCGCACTGGAACTAAAAGTTCTACCACTTACTATGTTAATGACACAAAGTTAAAATGAGCATCATCTGCTGCGCATGGTGGTTCATGCCTGTAATCCCAGCACTTCAGGAGGCCAAGGTGGGTGGATCACTGGAGGTCAGAAGTTTGAGATCAGCCTGGCCAACATGGTAAAACCCCATCTCTACTAAAAATATAAAAATTAGCCGGGGGGTGTCAGACACCTGTAATCACAGCTTCTCGGGAAAATGAGGCAGGAGAATTGCTTGAACCTGGGAGGTGGAGGTTGCAGTAAGCTGACATCGCGCCATTGCACTCCAGCCTGGGCAACAAGAGCAAGACTTTGTCTCAAAAAAAGAAAGAAAAAAAAGAGCATCATCCACTAGTCACCATGCTCATCTAAAGAATATTGACTACTGTCTAATTTTACACCGTAAGCCACCAAGACATCGATATAAACACAGGACCAACAAGTGCGGTCTTGTGAAAAGCCAGGCTCCACTTTCTATCAGAGGCGCCTGCCACCAGCACTGTACGGGTCCATCTTAATACCTTAGCCTGCCACCCTAATACCAGGGGCCCACCTTGCTAGTGGGAGGGTCCAAATACAAGGACAGAAGAGCTGTCCCCATACTAGTGACTGATCTGGAGTCCTCATCTTTCCAAGCTAACTGTACAACTACTTCACGATTCAAGCCAAGGGCTTCTAAAACTGCAGAGATACCATTGCTCTGCAGGAAACCAGGTGCCTTTCAGGGAACTTGATGTCTCCCCAGACTATCAGTCAGCGTCATGACCATGCAAGACCACAAGCTTCCCCTCATCTGTCTGAGGAGGAGACAACTGGGAATGGTGTCTTCACAGCATGGACGTGGAGCTTGGGTCAGCAGGGCTGCCACGCCTGGTACATTTGGAGGGTGGTACTCAGTGGGAGACAATTTTCTAAAGGATTCTTGGTCAGCTAAACACAGTGGCTCACGCCTGTAATCGCAGCACTTTGGGAGAGCAAGGTGTGCCAATGGCTTGAGCTCGGGAGTTCTAGACTAGCCTGGGCAATGAGGCAAAACGTCGTCTCTACTAAAAATACAAAAAATAAGCCAGGTGTGGTGCATGCCTATAGTCACAGCTACTCAGGAGGCTGAGGCAGGAGGATTGCTTGAGCCCGGGGAGATGGAGGTTGCAGTGAGCTAAGATCACACCACTGGACTCCAGCCTGAGTGACAGAGTGAGACCCCCTCCTCAAACAAAAATTTTTTTTAAAACAAAGGGTTCCTGGTCAACCTGAAGGTACCTTGGTGCTCTGACCTGGCCAGCACCCCAGCCATTCTCTAGAACATCACCTGACTTTCCAGACCGAAGGGATGTAGGGTAACTTATAAGGAACCTAGGGTAACTTATAATCCTCAATCTGATTTCCCACAGCCATGCTCCACTGCTCCAGGAAGCTCTTAGCATCTGACTCATCCCCAGGCCAACTTCAAGAAGCATGTGCTAGAGACCCTGAATAGAGTTCTCAAGACACTTTTATGAGAGTCTGGAGATGGTTAGGGCCCTAAGTCAGCATGCCTGAGACTGGATCTGGGCTTTGTCACTTAGGCTTCATGTAGTCCTGGGCACATTACATAACTATATGGCACCCAGTGTCCTCTTCCCGAAAGTAGGGGTAAAAAGAATGCCTTCTGATTGAGCATGGTGTTTCATGCCTGTAATCCCAGCACTTTGAGAGGCCAAGGCGGGAGAACTATTTGAGCCCAGGAGTTCAAGACCAACCTGGGCAACATAGCAAAACAAAAAATACAAAAATTAACCAGGCATGGTGGCGCACACCTGTGGTCCCAGCTACTGAGGAGGATTGCTTGAGCCCAGGAGGCCAAGGCTGCAATGAGCTGAGATTGCACTACTGCACTCCAGCCTGGGCAACAGAGTGAGACCCTATTTCAAAAAAAAAAAAAAAAAAAGAAGACTACCTTCTACCTTACTAAGTCAACGAAAAGAATAAAAGTAACATATATATAAAATACTCATAGCAGTTCCTGGTACATAGTGTTTTTCAAGTACTCACTGTCAGTATTACTATAACTACTTGCTACTAGCTGAGTACCAACCACTACTGGTCCTGCTGCTGCTTCTACAGCACTGCTGCTAGGACTGAGCATGAGCCCCACATCTGCCAGATCCTCCATTCCCTACTCTTCTGCCATGACTCCCCCTAAAAGAAAGACCAGCACTCCACCAACTGTATCTGTACTAAGCTCCCCTCGATCTGGGCATCTCCCCACATGCCCACCAGCAGTAAGGATTCCCACGCTCCCAGCACCAGAGCAGGACCTGTCCTCAAGTCTCAGGAGAAACTCAAGTTGCCGCAGCCTCTACTCCTGTGCCTGCTTCTCCCTAAAGTTTATCAAATCTCATTCTAGTCTATCACCTCTGTGGGTTAGAGAACCCACCCCAAGTGGCTGGCAGCCCATGACAGCATGGACAGCCCTGAGTACCACAAGCTCAGTTCCTTCTAAATCATCTTGTTTTCAATTTCATAAGCAGCTGGTAACACAGGGAAACTAGAGAAATGGAAGTAGCTGCAGGAGGTGTGAGGCCACTCATTCCTACCACACCTAACCAGACACCTGGCCTGAGCCTTAGGCACTTACAGAAGCTTCATGGCTACCGGACAACTTCTCTGAAGTTGTACAGCCAAACTGGGCCAGGAGATCCTGTACACACTAGCCACACTGACACCAACTGGTCATTCTATTTCTCTCCAACTGAGATGTATTGGGGCCATGTGGAAACATCATCACTGGGACACCCCTGCGCAGGTTAAAGACGGACTGGGAGAACCTGAGAGACTCTGACACCCTCTTCCCCCATCAAGTCAGTTCCACTGGTTATTCTGCAGGTCCTCCCCATCCTCCACAAAGCCACAGCAGCATTGGGGGTGTGGGCGGGTACCCTCTCAAAGGTAGCATTCACCATCTGTCACCCTGGTCAACATACCTTTGTCACCAATGAGACCATCCATCTCCCAGGACCATCCAGTTCCCTGTTGTCTGACAGATTCCCCAGGTGTAGGACAGAGCTCACCTACCTGCCTCCCACTGCCCACTGTGCCCTCCGTAACAAAAAGCATGTTCAGGCTGGTGTGTTGGCTCACGCCTATAATCCTAGCACTTTGGGAGGCTGAGGCAGGCAGATTGCCTGAGCTTAGGAATTTGAGACCAGCCTGGGAACACAGTGAAATCCCATCTCTACTAAAATACAAAAAATTAGCCAGGTGTGGCAGTGTGCACCTGTAGTCCCAACTACTCAAGAGGCTGAGGCAGGAGAATCGCTTGAACCTGGAAGGCAGAGGTTGCAGTGAGCTGAGATTGCACTACTGCACTCCAGCCTGGGTGACAGAGCAAGGCTCCACCACACACACACACAAAAGGCGTATTCAACAGGAGCTACAGCCCCCACATACAAACCAACCTCACTCCCAAAAAATGCACCAGGACAACTCCCCACCCTGCATTTAAAGCCACCCTTTTGTAGCAACGGCAACGTCCACCCCTGCTACTCTCATGGCACAGAGGGCACAAGTCACACAGCAGGACCCTCTGCATCCCCTCTAGCAGGCCACAGACCAGAATAGGCAAGCTACCTGGCACTGTGCCCAGGCAGAACACTGGCTTGCTGCAGGATCTCGACAGAGGCCCTTGGCGGCAATGGAGGTCATGGCCCTCCTGGCTCTCTGCCTTTGATTTTTCATGGAATGTCTGTTTATACACTCTCTACAAGGCCAGGCACCAAGACTCTACCTTCCAACCAACAATCCACTCCAACCACAAGGAAGACACCCTGGATGGGTGCTGCGTGAATTTCCTGGGGTGCACAGTAATTGGACCTTCTTCCCAGAGGGGGTTTTGGCTCCCAGCACTTCAGCACCCTGGGAGGGGGTAGCTCTTGGGGGCTTCAGCCAGCTCCAGCCTCTGGGGCACCACCAACAGCAAGGCCCTCAGTTCTGTTTCCCTGAGAGGAGAGAGGTGACAATACCTCCCCAGGAGAGCATTTATCAGATTTGGCTTGATGAACAATGATTTGTTGAGCACCTATAAAATGTCTTAACATTATTCTGGGCCCTGATCCAAAATCACTTCCTCCAAACCACAAGGCACATACTCCTGGAGGCTGCAGGATCCTCTTTTGACCAGGGGTGACTCTTAGAATTTAAAACATTTACTTGGCCAGGTGTGGTGGCTCATGCCTGTAATCACAGCACTTTGGGAGGCCGAGGCAGGCAGATCATGAGGTCAAGACTTCAAGACCAGCCTGGCCAAGCATGGTGAAACCCTGTCTCTACTAAAAATACAAAAAAATTAGCCTGGCGTGGTGGCACATGCCTGTAGTCCCAGCTACTCAGGAGGCTGAGGTAGGAGAATCGCTTGAACCTGGGAGGCAGAGGTTGCAGTGAACCAGGATTATGCCACTGCACTCCAGCGCCTGGATGACAGAAAGAGGCTCCGTCTCAAAAAAAAAAAAAGAACATTTACTGAGCACCAATATTGTCCTACCATAGAATAAAATGCTCTTCTTTCATGACACTGTATTTTAACTGGTTACACGTAAAGCAATAATGACCTTGAACTTCAGTCACTTAAGTATTCACCCAGATAAATATACTCACTGAACTAACTACCTAATGCTTCCTAGACCTGTTTAATCCTTAGACCTTAAAATACCTTCAAACCCCATCTGGCCACGTCTCCCTTCTGTTCCCCCATCCATTATGGCACCAATCAATGGCAAGCACATTTACTCTGTGTGTCCTGAAAAACAATTCACAGTATGTAAAAGCTTTTACCTCAATTAATGTAAAAATTCCCAAAACTAAATAAGATTTCCAGTAACACTTTATGATCGCTCGTGTTAAAGAAGGCTTCTGTGCGTCATTCCCAGCTCTTAAAACTTCTTTATCCCAGAACCTACAATGAGGAAAAGGCTTCGTCAGTGAGTGCACCCTGCCGCAGTGTAAAACAGGAGGTGGTGGAGTGACAGGTAGGCATTTGAGAAAGGGCATTTTGCGACTATTTCATAAATGCTGCTAATTGCTCCCAGGGCTCCTGAAGGGGATGTGTGGTACAGAATCTGTAGCATCAGAGAAACAGGCCTTGAGGGGAAGTCTGGGGAAACAAGTTACTGCCAAGCTTTGCTGGAATGAAGCCCCATCAGGAGCACAGATAAGCTGGACAGGCTCCTCCAGCCATTCCACTTCCACTTCCAGGGACAGAGCTCAGCTATCTCCAGCCTTTGGTGCTGGCTTCCCACACCTCTACAGAGGCACAGGATATAGGAGTGTCCCCCAGGCCATCATAGTAGGCTGAGCCCACGGACAGCCTCAGGAAGGTGACATTGTTCACCTTAAGGGTAAACAGAGGCTCCAGACAGGACTCAGGAAGGCAAAACCCACTCCCCACACACAGACACTCTCACGCTTCCTTGGCGCCCACTTTGCCTCCCACTCACCCTTGCAACTCCTCTCCAAGGTGCTGGGAGCGGACTTCCGGCAGCACTGAATACATATCATCTTCCTCTAATCTCCGTTTATGGCCAATTTTAAACAAGGGATTGAGCCACCTGTTAACAAGAGAAAAGAAGAGACATATACCCAGAATTACACGTCTGTGTTTAAGCAGACCCCTACCTCCATGGGTTTTCCTTAAACTTACCTTTAAAACATATACAGCTATAGGTAGACATAGAGATGTGCATAGACAGAGCTAGAGAAAGAGAGAAAAATTAACATGTGTATGCAAACACACACACACACACACTCCCTAGCTCTGTCCACAGAGAGGCCCCAGAAGCAATGAATGGCACACCAGGACCTGAGAGCATGCTGGTGCCCAGATCCTAGTTTCCAATACCATTCTCCCCTAAAAGGAACCAGGGCTCCTTGAAGAAATTGCTGATTCCAAGGCTGGGGCAGACAAAGTACAAGATGGGCCATGAGATATCATGGAAACATTCAAGGAATCAAGAGGATGGGCCCAAAGAACAGAGAAGCCAGCTTGACCGAGTCCCACTAGACAAGCCTGTGATAATGGAAGCATCCAAATACATCAGGACAGCCACAAATTCTAACCCACTGAATAACAAAAGAATCCCTGAATCCTTACTGAGACATAAACGGGGGAAGAAGGAAAAAGGTCTCAGATAAAGAACAATGGGGTTAGAAAACATTTTCAGTGGAAGCTAAAACCAGGAAGCCATCAGCTTCAGCGATACAGGAGACATTCTCCACCCAGGATCACAACGCCCAGCACCATTTCCAGCAAGCAGGAGTCTTAGACAAGGGTTAGCAGAGAGTTTTATTATTTACTGTTGCTGGTGGTTGTATTTAGTTTTTGTTGGTTTTTTCCCCAAGGATTTGAAAAGTTCTGAATACCGGTTTCTTTCCTTCTTTCTTCCTTCCTTCCTTCCTTCCTTCCTTCCTTCCTTCCTTCCTTCCTTCCTTCCTTCCTTCCTTTTCCTTCCTTCCCTCCCTCCCTCCCTCCCTCCCTCCTTCCTTCCTTCCTTCCTTCCTTCCTTTCTTTCTTTTTTTTTTTTTTTTTTAGATGGAGTCTTGCTCTGTTGCCCAGGCTGGATGGAGTACAGTGGAACAATGAGAGTTTACTGCAGCCTCAAACTTCTGAACTCAAGCAACCTTCTCACGTCTACTTCCCAAGTAGCTAGGAGTATAGGGACATGCCACTGTGCCCGGCTAATTTTTTTTTATTTTTGGTAGGGACTGGGTCTCTCAGCCAGATGCAGTGGTTCACACCTGTAGTCCCAGCATTTTGGGAGGCTGAGGCAGGTGGATCACCTGAAGTCAAGAGTTCAAGACCAGCCTGGCCAACATGGAGAAACCCCATCTCTACTAAAAATACAAAATTAGTCAGGCATGGTGGTGCATGCCTATAATCCCAGCTACTCAGGAGGCTGAGGCAGGAGAATCGCTTGAACCTGGGAGGCGGAGGTTGCAGTGAGCCAAGGTTGCATCATTGCACTCCAGCCTGGGCAACAAGAACAACCATCTCACAAAAAAAAAAAAAAAAGAGAGAGAGAGAGAGAGAGACTGGGTCTCTCTATGTTGACCAGGATGGTATCAAACTCCTGGGCTCAAGTGACCCTCCCACTTCAGCCTCCCAAAGTTCTGGGATTACAGGCATGAGCAACCAAGCTCAGCCAACAGTGGTTTCTTAATGTGTTATAAGGGGGAAAACCCAGGTCCCAGCTCCACATCTCTGTGACACTGACCAAAGTACTCAGTTTCTATGAGCTTCAGGTTCCCCATATCTACAAGCAGAGGAGGAAATAAAATCTAACTATCTTTGGTAAATCCCCTCACTTTCCTTTCCCTCTCTCCTTTTTTTCCCTGTCAGCTCTCTCTCTGTCTCCTTAATTCCTTGAGGCCCCTTCTATTTCTCTTCTCCTCCTTCTTCCTGACCTTTTGTAACCACTGGCCAAGATGGAACTAAAATATTATTTCATTACTTGATACTCGTTGAATCAAGATTGTTCTCTCTTTAATGGACAAATTCAATATTTTATATTCTTCAGAAGCCAAGCCCAGTAAAACCTTTTTCAGTGGCTCATGCAATTGTGTATCCCTAAAACTATAGTCTATCGAAGAAGAAAAGTTTCTCCACCTTTATTAAAAATTAACAATACTAAAAGAAGAGATGTGGGAGGGAAGGTCATGTCTGCTCTATAACTCCTGAACTTAGCCCTGGACACATGAGATGCACGAGGCCAGTGAGAAAACAGGTATGTGTTCAGAGCCACGAAGGCAAAGGTCAGAGCTGCGAACTTAGTTGAGAGCTTAGAGAACAAGGAAGGCTAAGGGCACGTTGAGTGAAATCCCCTGCGGCAGCCCACTGAAGGAGTTCACTCGTGTCTCGTGATGCTATACAGTCATCCCCCCATATCCACGGTTTCGCTTTCCACAGGTTGAGCTACCTATGGCTGACTGAAAAGATTAAATGGGAAATCCCAGAAATAATTCCTAAGGCTTCAATCACAGCTTGTCCTGAGTAGCATGATGAAATCTCCCACAGACCCACCCAGTATGGGAATCTTCCCTCTGTCCAGCGTCTCCATGCTGCAGATACCACCCACCCTTAGTCACTTGATAGCCACCTGGGTGATCAGATCTATTGTCGTGGCATCACAATACTGGTGTTCAAGTCACCCTTATTTTACTTAATAATGGCCCCCAAAGAGCAAGCATAAGGATGCTAGTCATTTGGATATGCCAAAAAGAAGCCACAAAGGCCTTCCTTTATACAAAAAGGTGAAAGTTCTCAAGCCAATAGGAAAAGAAAAAAGAATCGTATGCTGAGGTTGTTGAAATCTGGTTTGAGAGTGAACCTTCTGGCCATGTACGGTGGCTCATGCCTGTAATCCCAGCATTTTGGGAGGCCGAGGCGGGCAGATCACAAGGTCAGGAGATTGAGACCATGCTGGCCAACATGGCGAAACCCTGTCTCTACTAAAAAATACAAAAATTAGCTGGGTGTGGTAGCACATGCCTGTAGTCCCAGCTACTCAGGAGGCTGAGGCAGGAGAATTGCTTGAACCCAGGAGGCGGAGGTTGCAGTGAGCTGAGATGCACCACTGCACTACAGCCTTGACCTGGCAACAGAGCAAGACTCTGTCTCACAAAAAAAAAAAAAAAAAGAGTGACACTTCTATCCATGAAATAGTAAAGAGTATATTGTTGTAATGATTCTATTATTATCATGGTTATTCTCTTACCGTGCTCAATTTATAAATTAAACTTTACCACAGATATGTGTAAGTAGGGCCGGGCACAGTGGCTCATGCCTATAATCACAGCACTTTGGGGGGCCGAGGCAGGTGGATCACCTAAGGTCAGCAGTTCAAGACCAGCCTGGCCAACATGGTGAAACCCCATCTCTACTAAAAATACAAAAATTACCCGTGTGTGGTGACAGGCACCTGTGATCCCAGCTCCTTGGGAGGCTGAAACAGGAGAATTGCTTGAACCTGCGAAGCAGAAATTGCAGTGAGCTGAGATCACGCCATTGCACTCTAGCCTAGGTCACAGAGCGAGACTATGTTTCAAAAACAAAACAAACAAAAAAAGATATGTGTAAGTAGGGAAAAAACCACTAGGGTTGAGTGCTATCCATGGCTTTAGGCAGCCACTGAGGGTCTTGGATGATGGTATTCCCCCCCGCCTCCTTGGATCGGGGAGACTACTGTACATCTAGAAAAAGAGATGAATGGATAAAAAGGACGTTAGTAGATAGGCTTAATGCTTCCTTCATGAACTTTCAATATTTGGCAGCCACAAAATAGTAATGGACTAGAGTTCTGGTGCCAGGAATTCAACATGAATTTTAAATAGTACCTGCTGTCTGGTGAGCACCCTAGACTCTGAGCTTCTTTTTTTTTTTTTTTGAGACGGAATTTCGCTCTTGTTACCCAGGCTGGAGTGCAATGGCGCGATCTCGGCTCACCGCAACCTCCACCTCCCGGGTTCAGGCAATTCTCCTGCCTCAGCCTCCTGAGTAGCTGGGATTACAGGCACGCGCCACCATGCCCAGCTAATTTATTTTGCATTTTTAGTAGAGACGGGGTTTCACCATGTTGACCAGGATGGTCTCGATCTCTAGACCTCGTGATCCACCCACCTCAGCCTCCCAAAGTGCTGGTATTACAGGCTTGAGCCACCGCGCCTGGCCTGACTCTGAACTTCTAATCCTGGTATCTTTAAATCCGAATGCCCTTTGTTCCTCATTCAGTTTCCATGTTCCTCCTCACCTTCCTGTGTTTCTAAGGAAAACAGCTGAGAATGCCTCTCCCCTCCCAACACCTCCAGGATAGAAAGGTTAGTGCATAGCTAACCATGCCTGCCCCAGGCTTTCTCCAAAACAGCTCCATTGAAGAAATGATGCTGAGTTTCCATTTTGCACACTGACTCTCCCATGGGGCTCACCCTCTGCCTTTACCCACACTGAAATTTTCTTTGTAGCATCTGTCACCATTTGAAAGGCTATTACATTTCACTTTTTTTAGAATCATGTTTTCTCCCCAGAGCATCTAAGGCTCCACAGGATGGGGTTTTCCTGTGTTGCTTGCTGCCAAGCCATCCATACCTACAAAATGGTGGGTACATGTAAGGCACCTAGATTTGTCACATGAATGAACACATCCTCCAAAAATCCCCAAATGTGGCCTGGCATGGTGGCTGATGCCTATAATCCCAACAATTTGGGAGGTTGAGGCAGGTGGATCACTTGAGGTTAGGAGTTCAAGACCAGCCTGACCAACATGGTGAAACCCCATCTCTACTAAAATTACAAAAATTTGGCTGGGCACGTTGGCTTACTCCTGTAATCCCAGCATTTTGGGAGGCCAAGGTGGGCAGATCATGAGGTCAGGAGCTCGAGACCATCCTGGTAAAACCCCATCTCTACTAAAAATACAAAAATTAGCTGGGCATGGTGGTGTGTGCCTGTAATCCCAGCTACTCAGGAGGCTGAGACAGGAGAATTGCTTGAAACAGGGAGTCGGAGGTTGCAGTGAGCCAAGACGGTGCCAATGTACTCCAGCCTGGCGAGAGAGTGAGATTCTGTCTCAAAAAAAACAAAAGTACAAAAATTAGCCAGGCAAGGTGGCAGGGGCGCCTATAATCCCAGCTATTCGGGAGGCTAAGGCAGGGAGAATCGCTTGAACCCAGGAGGTGTAAGTTGCAGTGAGCTGAGACTGT